CCTTACGTATGTTTTTGGTGTAATTCGTTAGAGCTTTCTTGTCTTTCGGAGTTAAGAGATTCGTTCCACCAGGGTGTGCCCCGACTATTATTTTTTACCTTCATTGGACTGCTACTGTGATAGGCAGAACGAATTGCCACAGAGATCTGCCCGTGGCTATTTCAATCTGATCACAGTTCCTAACGATAGCGATTGTACAGATTATACCCTCCAGGAGATTATCTTGGAGCTGAATATAATTGAGCTGAACGTAATGTCAAGGTTGGTTTGGCACCTACATTATTAAGAGTAAGCCCCTCTTCTAATAGGTAGTCAAAAAGCAACTCACCTCTTTCATTTGTGTTGGTGCTTGCCCACATCGTGTGGTGCGCATTGGCGTCACATCCAACAACCCTTTTTAAGTTATTCCTCCGGCTGTAGGAAATTATGTCTCGCACTGCGGCCGGGGGAAGATCATTATCCGTTCCGGGGAAGTATGCCTAGCAGATGATAATTTCTGTCCAGCCCTTGGATTCTCAGAACCGCAGCCACACAATCGCGGTCGCTATGCTCTGAGATTAAGAAAGCTTTAATGTTGTTCCTGATAAGTAGTCTATCCCCTGAGCAAAGTAACTTACCGAGTTTGCTGATGACCCCGGTATTGGCGAGCCATGATTCCTGGATGAGGGCAATATAAATTCGCTCAGGTTGTACTAAGGACAGCCGTAGCGTGCTGCAGGTTTACCTGTAAACACTTAATAGACTGTTGCGGAAAATTCCGTGGAATGTGGTTTCGGGATAAGGTGGAAGAATTAAATGTTAAAATTCCAAAGGAAAACTGGTTTATTAACCAAACTCTGAATAAAATGCAAAAATTAACAATTAATTGAAAATACAAACTTAATTATGACAAACCTGAGCACAAGGACAAACAGCTTACAAAAAATATCTTGTAAGTTCCCAAGAGGTCACTCGAGTCTGGTGTCACAAACCAATGTGGAAAACGAAATCAAAACCAGACTCGAAGGACCCTCACAAATTCACATCCCCACCTCGCATGTGTTAAACAAAAACTACCTTAAATTCAAATAAACGATAACACAAACGGGAATATACAAAAATATTATGTTTTAAGACTTATCCACTAAGCTGGGTACAGTTTTCCCTACTTACCTCTCTCTTAGGATGGAGCTGGCCCCTCTCATTCCAGCACGCTCTCTCGAGCCTCGGGCAGGAGTCGAGGACTTTCCTCTTCCTCCACTATCCGTGGTGCTGAATGAGCACCTGCACGACACCCCTTACTGGACACCCTGGCACGTGCCGAAATCCTACCTCTGCCGGGTTTCACACCTGGAGCTCATGGTCACACTTGGAACACTAGCTTCATCGTCTGGGATATATGCTACACAGACGTGCGGGCTTCGAATATCTATCCCCTCGACCGCCTTAAATTGGGCACCCTTCCATGGATGAGGGCTGTTGGCTGTATTCACAAACCAGTCCTTCGAGTAAGCATTCGCGCAGGTAACTAAAAATCTGATGTTGTCTACGGCTGAAATAACTTCCCTCCGTTGCAACCCCACCTGTTCTACATTGAACTGTTGGGCGGGATAATCTGGGTGGATTAATCCAACCTTGATACCGCTCACAGCAAGTTTTTAGTTCTTATTTCCCCACCTCGTACGATTCTTTTGAGCAAAATTCTCAGAAATCAAATAATAATAAATTGCTTTTCTTAGAAAAATCGGGTCGATATTTGTAGGAATTTGCTCAAAACACAAATCGTATGAGTTATACGCTATAATATTATTTTTATGGACAAGTTTAGACTTGCAAGAAAACAATCTGCTGCTGCAGATCTGCACTTGGGCTTCTTAGCCACTTGCTCAGGCGTCCACCCATCAGAGCACACCCTCTTGGCCAAAGGCTTAGAAGACTTTGCACTCTTTTCCGGTGGAGTACTGAGTTTTTCAATTACCTCCTCTTCATCTTCCTCTCCTTCAGAGTGCAGAAGAACCTGCTCCTCTTCCAGAGAGGGAGAACTTGACTAGGGCGCGGACGGTCCGGCTACCACAAGTTTAGATTGTATGGCAATCAGTTCAAGTTAACTTGAAAGTGGCTGTTGACACATTGCGTTCCTTTTGCAAGTGGATTCAAGAATACCGCAGTACAGGATTTGATGTGAGCGTTGCAGAAGCTCGGTCATTCGTAGAAAAATGTAATTATGAAATTGCGTCACAATTTCAAGAAAGAAGAGTTGCAAGAAAGAAAAAAATGTTCGATTACGAAGGAATAGATGAACCTGTGCAATCCGCGGAGACGAGATTTAGAATTGACTTTTTTAACACAATGGTAGACGCTATCATAGTCGACGTAGAATGTCGATTCAAATCTCTCAATGAATATTTCGAACGATTTGGTTTTATTTATGACATCAATTATCAATTATTATTAAGATCTTTATCACAACAAAATCTTCTGAAGCACTGTAATGATCTTGGTACAACTCTCAGGGATGGGGAGAACAGTGACATAGAGCCTTTCGAACTCTATGAAGAACTTCAACTTATAAAATCAAATTTGCCAGACTCTGTTCAAGATGTAGTACAACTAATACAGTACATTATACAAAATAATTTGCAGGAAATATATCCAAATGTTTACATATCTATTAGGATTATGCTAACAATTCCTGTCCTGTTTCGGCAGAAGCCGTGCTTTCTGCCGAAAGAAGCTTCTCAAAGTTAAAATTAATAAAAAACTATTTGAGAAACACAATGAGCCAAGAAAGATTATCTGCGCTATCAATTTTATCAATTGAAGCCGAAATAGCAGCAAATATAAACTATGAATTAATACTGAAAAAATTCAGTGAAGCGAAAAGCCGTAAATTTCGTTTACTTTAATTTTACTTATTATTATGTTCGTTTGCGTGATTGTTTTTGTTTAATTAATAGAAAATATACTTATCATATAACTAGCCGCGTTTTAATCTTAGCCTAATAGAGTACGCAACTAGCAATAGCTTTGTTCGTTGGGACTGCACTAGTTGCCAGAAGCAATTCAGTGCAGTGTAAATGTAGTAATTCAGTGCAGTTTTCGAACAGTCAGTTACCTGTCAGTTTTTCGAAAACTGCACTGAAACACTACATTTATACTGCAGTAACTACTTGAGACAACTAGTGCAGTCCCAACGATCAAAGCAAATATTTTGTGGGATATGAAAAGGGCCTCGTAAATGTACTGTCGCCGACGCCTACGTTTGGTTTAGCGCCGCCACTGGTATGTATGTATGGATTCGGGAGCGTGTGCGTTTACCGCACACTACAGTTAGGCCCCATTGGGCCCCTTGTGCATCCTCCCATTGCACACTCTGGTCACATCAACCAGCCTAAGGTTTTGCCAAAGGCTAGGACAGCTCCTAGAGGTGCATTCCTCCCCGAACCTCCTCATTCTGAGGTGGGTCAGAGGGGGGCAATCACACAAGATGTGTTTAACCGTTTCGTTATCCTGTTCATAGGCTCCCCAGAAAGGGGAGTTAGCAAGCTTCATGTTTTCAAGGTGCTTATTTACTTTACAGTGAGCTGTTGCGGCTGAAGGATATTTTAACAATTCCTTGGCGAAATGAGTTTAATTGACTCGATATGAGTAGCTAAAGAGGTGGTAATTATCGATTCGGGTGCACAGGGCGCTCTACTGGCAGCACGTTTGGCTAGAATGTCCACGTGGTTGTTACCCTTGGAGCCAGAATGCCTCTTAACCCATTGGATTCTGACACGATTATATTTCGCGGTCTCCTCCAGTGCTGTGTGACAATCCACTATTAATGCAGACGTTATAATAACTCTGCTTAAAGCTAAAAGAGATTGTTTACTGTCAAAAATAGTAAAGCACTTACTCCGCTTGTTGGAATCATCAATGCAATTCCGCTTATATGACGGTGGTGCTAGACCCTAAAGGTTCTGAGAGGCGAATCCGGGGTGACGTGGGTGAGGTATCTCTTTCAGAAAACATATTTTGCTGGTCTGTGTTGAACTGCTGCCAGCGTCCCCATCCTTCATAATTCCTACTGATTGTAGTCTTTTTAAGGTTACCAAGGCCACTTCCTGAATACGTAGGTTGAGTGGTGGTAAATTTAACATGACTTCCATGGCCGCGGTGGGGGTTGATCGCAGCGCACCTGTACGATACAGACACACGAGTCTCTGTATTCTATTGAGTGCAGTGGTGGCAGTAGACTTAGAAGTTCTAGTCCATCATAGGTTAGCATTGGTCGAACCATGGCAGTATAAATCCACAGGGCTATCTTGAGCTATCCTCTCGACAGCTCTCCGGCACTGGCCGAAGGCGACACAAGCTTTATTAACTCTATTATGTAGGTGGGATTTCAACGTTAACTTATTGTCTATTATTAAGCCCAAGTACTTAACTTCTGTAGACAGTTTAAGTGGAGTTTTAGCAAGGTTGGCAGTCTAGGATTGCCAATGTTGCGCATGCAACATGGTTTTATTTTTACTGTGCGTCTCCATACTAATCCCAAGAGTAGGGTAGAAACGGTAGTCCATCGAGGCAGTGCTCCCATATCGCGATAAGCTTATTTAAACTGAAAGTCGACAAGTCTCCAGAGTCCGCTTATTAGCAGCCATCACTTCCCGGATGACTAGACCGTCAGGTGACAGCCTAAAGTGCTCTGCATAAGCTCTCCCACATTCACTTTGGGGGTTTTAATGAGGTTGTCTCCTCTTGACCCAATTAAGCCAAAATCCCCAGCATGCCCTGCTCGTGGAACAGGTCCACAAACAATAAGCATGCATGGTATATCGACTGGCAAGTCTAGATCTCAGATCTCTCTCTAGGTCTCGTGAAGGAGCGGTAAAAAGTGCAGTGTCAGTCTTGATTCAAGTCATAAGACAAGAACCCTGAGTACAGCAAAACATGCACCCTCACCCCCTAGTTTATACTTAGTATGATATAAAAACTATAACATAATACAATTATTAATTTACTATGATGGTGTAAAGTTGGATGCCTACCCTCTTGTTATTTATGTTTAATAACCCTACAGTAATCTTGGTGTAGATTGTGTTCAACATTAAATGTTAAAACATTACATTATTATTTTTTAAAATCATAACTCATCAAAAAGTAACTCTTTATAGAAAAAAATGGATTATCTAGAGCCGTAAGTACAAATTTAAACTTAAAATGTGTCCTAACCTAAAAATTTTGTTTCTTTGAACAAACAGGGACATGAATGGGGCCGTACACCATTCCACAAAGGTTAATTACAACTGGGTAGATATCACTGAAGATTTTTTAACATCTGTGAAAGGTTTGATTATAAGGTTTTGGTTATATTTATGGTAAAGTTGAGGTTATGTTGGGTTTTGTAGATTTGCAGCTTGGAGAATTGCTCCATGATAATCTTTTTGGGCTCTTTGAGGCAATGTCAGCTATTGAAATGATGGACCCAAAAATGGACGCAGGGATGTTATGCAATAGAGGCACTAAAAAAGCAAAATCTTTTGATCAAGCTGTTAAGGTTGTTTAATTCAGTTTGTTTGGAGGTTTACAACAAATTTATTAACTAGAAAGTAAAAATTGTTTTAGGATAACAGTTTAAAATTGGAAGGATTGAGTTATGAGGAACAAATTGGTATAATTGACCAAACATTAGCTTGCATTGTGTCTTGGTTAGAGGGTCATTCTTTGGCACAAACTGTTTTTACTAATTTATATCTCCATAATTCTTATCAAATTGCTGATCGACCCTTAAAAGCTTTTTGTTTAACAGTTTACAAACTTTTAGAGATTATAAAGGATTATATTCATAAGCAAGTTTTTATTTATTTTTCTCTAATTTTTGCGATTTTTAAATAAATATTTTTTTAGGGCTATGGTTTATGAAGAAGAAGATTTTCAGCCCATGCAGTATGGGTATCAATTAAATCCTGATATTTCTGAACAACGCATCATCACAATGTTACGAGAAGTTGAAGAGGAACTCCATCGCAAGATGCAGAATAGAGATCGTGAAAATGATGTAAAAACGTATTTCATTTTTAAGACTAGAACTACCAACAGTTGAGATCAGCCAAAATGACTGAAAGAATGACTAAAAGATTTTGCAAGCTTAAAGTAGTACAGTACATTCAGGTTTAAGAGAGGACTTCTTGTTCACAATGATATATAAATCTGTTAGTCCTCCATAGCTTGCTTTTTCTGCGCTTTTAGCGATTGTTGGTGAAATTTCAGACACTCTTATAGCAATTTATTTTACCATTTATAAGAGAATTTTGTGTTGGAACCATTAAGGGTGTTATATCATATTTAATTACTACTGGAAGGTGGTCTGAGTCCAGCTCATATATTACACATTGTTGAGTGTTAGATATAATAGAATAATTAATAATTTCTATTTTAATTGGCACAAATCTAATTTCAGATTTACTTTGATTAATCTCTGAGACACCCTCTATCTACATGTCTCATGTAGTATGGGTTGTTAATTTGAAACTTTCGATCTTAAATATTTTCAAAATGGCTGCCACTTCCGGTTAAACTTTTATTATTAACATATCAAATTTTAAATCATATCAGGAAATATCATCCTTTATCTTCAACTTGTGATATAAATCACTTGTTATTTCCAACAAATAATTTTAGCATGTTTGACTGTGACTTAACACAACTTATTTCTTTTTAAACTTTTTCTACAAATTTTTATTATTAACACAACTATTTTTATATTACATCCAAAAATATAATATTTTAGCTTCAACTTGTGATATAAATCGCTTCGTAACTCCCAAAAATAAAGTTAATACGATTTTTTTTTAATTTTGACGTTTTCGAACATAACTTAATTCAAGTTAATTCATTTTGAGGAACTTTTCTCTACAAACTTTTATTATTAACATATCAATTTTTAATCATATCATGAAATATCATTCTTTATCTTCAATTTGTGATATAAATCACTTCTTAATTCCAACAAATAAAGTCAAGGCGATTTTTTTAATTTTGGCATGTTCGAGATTATTTTTTTTAATTTTTTCTACAAATTTTTATTATTAACACAACTATTTTTATACCACATCCAAAAATATAGTATTTTAGCTTCAACTTGTGATATAAATCGTTTCATAACTCCAAAAGATAAAGTTAATACGATTTTTTTAAATTTTGACGTTTTCGAACATAACTTAATTCAAGTTAATTAATTTTGAAGAACTTTCTTGTACAAATTTTTATTATTAACATATTAATTTTTAAATCATATCATGAAATATCATCCTTTATCTTCATTTTGTGATATAAATCACTTCTTAATTCCAACAAATAAAGTCAAGGCGATTTTTTTAATTTTGGCATGTTCGAAATTATTTTTTTTAACTTTTTCTACAAATTTTTATTATTAACACAACTATTTTTATACTACATCCAAAAATATAATATTTTAGCTTCAACTTGTGATATAAATCGTTTCGTAACTCCAAAAAATAAAGTTAATACAATTTTTTTTTAATTTTATCGTTTTCGAAAATAACCTAATTCAAGTTAATTCATGTTGAAGAACTTTTCTCTACAAACTTTTATTATTAACATATCAATTTTAAAATCATATCAGGAAATATCATCCTTTATCTTCAATTTGTGGTATAAATCATTTCTTAATTCCAACAAATAAAGTCAAGGGGTTTTTTTAATTTTGGCATGTTCGAGATTATTTTTTTTAACTTTTTCTACAAATTTTTATTATTAACACGACTATTTTTATACCACATCCAAAAATATAATATTTTAGCTTCAACTTGTGATATAAATCGCTTCGTAACTCCAAAAAATAAAGTTAATACGATTTTTTTTTAATTTTGACGTTTTCGAAAATAACCTAATTCAAGTTAATTCATTTTGAAGAACTTTTCTCTACAAACTTTTATTATTAACATATCAATTTTTAAATCATATCAGGAAATATCATCCTTTATCTTTAATTTGTGATATAAATCACTTCTTAATTCCAACAAATAAAGTCAAGGCGATTTTTTTAATTTTGGCATGTTCGAGATTATTTTTTTTTAACTTTTTCTACAAATTTTTATTATTAACACAACTAGTTTTATACTACATCAAAAAATATAATATTTTAGCTTCAACTTGTGATATAAATCGCTTCGTAACTCCAAAAAAAAAGTTAATACGATTTTTTTTAATTTTAACGATTTCGAATATAACCTAATTCAAGTTAATTCATTTTGAGGAACTTTTCTCTACAAACTTTTATTATTAACATATCAATTTTTAAATCATATCATGAAATATCATCCTTTATCTTGAATTTGTGATATAAATCACTTCTTAATTCCAACAAATAAAGTCAAGGCGATTTTTTTAATTTTGGCATGTTCGAGATTATTTTTTTTTAACTTTTTCTACAAATTTTTATTATTAACACAACTATTTTTATACCACATCCAAAAATATAATATTTTAGCTTCAACTTGTGATATAAATCGTTTCGTAACTCAAAAAAATGAAGTTAATACGATTTTTTTTAATTTTGACGTTTTCGAATTTAACCTAATTCAAGTTAATTCATTTTGAAGAACTTTTCTCTACAAACTTTTATTATTAACATATCAATTTTTAAATCATATCAGGAAATATCATCCTTTATCTTTAATTTGTGATATAAATCACTTCTTAATTCCAACAAATAAAGTCAAGGCGATTTTTTTAATTTTGGCATGTCCGAGATTATTTTTTTTTAACTTTTTCTACAAATTTTTATTATTAACACAACTATTTTTATACCACATCCAAAAATATAATAGTTTAGCTTCAACTTGTGATATAAATCGTTTCGTAACTCCAAAAAATAAAGTTAATACGATTTTTTTAAATTTTAACGATTTCGAATATAACCTAATTCAAGTTAATTCATTTTGAAGAACTTTTCTCTACAAACTTTTATTATTAACTTATCAATTTTTAAATTATTTCATGAAATATCATTCTTTATCTTCATTTTGTGATATAAAACACTTCTTAATTCCAACAAATAAAGTCAAGGCGATTTTTTTAATTTTGGCATGTTCGAGATTATTTTTTTTAACTTTTTCTACAAATTTTTATTATTAACACAACTATTTTTATACCACATCCAAAAACATAATATTTTAGCTTCAACTTGTGATATAAATCGTTTCGTAACTCAAAAAGATAAAGTTAATACGATTTTTTTTAATTTTAACGATTTCGAATATAACCTAATTCAAGTTAATTCATTTTGAGGAACTTTTCTCTCCAAATTTTTATTATTAACATATTAATTTTTAAATCATATCATGAAATATCATCCTTTATCTTCAATTTGTGATATAAATCACTTCTTAATTCCCACAAATAAAGTCAAGGCGATTTTTTTAATTTTGGCATGTTCGAGATTATTTTTTTTTTAACTTTTTCTATAAATTTTTATTATTAACACAACTATTTTTATACCACATCCAAAAATATAATATTTTAGCTTCAACTTGTGATATAAATCGTTTCGTAACTCCAAAAAATAAAGTTAATACGATTTTTTTTAAATTTTGACGTTTTCGAACATAACTTAATTCAAGTTAATTCATTTTGAGGAACTTTTCTCTACAAACTTTTATTATTAACATATCAATTTTTAAATCATATCATGAAATATCATCCTTTACAATTTGTGATATAAATCACTTCTTAATTCCAACAAATAAAGTCAAGGCGATTTTTTTAATTTTGGCATGTTCGAGATTATTTTTTTTAACTTTTTCTACAAATTTTTATTATTAACACAACTATTTTTATACCACATCCAAAAATATGATATTTTAGCTTCAACTTGTGATATAAATCGTTTCGTAACTCCAAAAAATAAAGTTAATATGATTTTTTTTAATTTTGACGTTTTCGAACAACCTAATTCAAGTTAATTAATTTTAAAGAACTTTCTTCTACAAACTTTTATTATTAACATATCAATTTTTAAATCATTTTATGAAATTTCATCTTTTATCTTCAATTTGTGATATAAATCACTTCTTAATTTATTAAAGTTTTATTATATTAATTAATTAAAATTAATTAATTATTAAAATTTTTATTATACATCAAAGAAACTACTTGTGATATAAATCGTTTTTTAACTCTAAAAAATAAAGTTAACACTTTTTTTTTAAATTTTTAAAAAAATAACATGAAGAAACTTTAAAATAAAATTGTCAAAATGGTCATTTTGTGTGCTGTGGTAGTTCTAGTGTTAAATAAAATTAAAACGATTTTTTTTATTTAGATTGAAGGCTTGGTGGCTTTATTTACCCGAATAAAATTTATGCGAGTTTTGTATCAAGTTTTAATAATGTTGATTCAGCGCAAAGATGATTCCCCAATGATAATCGATTGTCATCGACTTTTGGCGGCTGCTTCCGATATGTTATTTGTGATGAAGAAGACTGTGGAACTCGGGATCCAACCTCCAGATGGTTCGTTTTATTTTTTTTAGTTAATTATTTTTATTAATAATTTATTTTTATTCGTAGAAAACTCCCACATGATGGGGTTCCAACCTTTCATAAACCAAAGATTGCTTCCCCCAACGTTTCCTAGATACACCAAGATCAAACCACGAAAAGAAGCGATGGTTTATTTTGAAATTATGATCGAGCGATTTAAAAATTTAACTAAAATACAATCAATTAACTCTTTGCATCAAGCTTTGGTGAGATTTAATTCTTTAAATTATTTTTAATTGTGATTAATTTGTTTTTGTAGGATTTTTTTATTGAATTTAGCAAAGTGGCGCCGTGTATTTTATCGAGATCGGCGCTCCAATTGCTGTATGTTCCAAATAATACCATTTTAACGACTGCTAATTATATGGCTTTGAAGGATATTTTAAGGGATGCTGCTAAACAATTTATTTCGCCCCCCGCGTTGGTTTCTAAAGCTATTTTACATAATAACCAACAGGTTATTAATTTAAAAAATCTTTTTATCATTTTAAAGTGAAAATTTTAATTTGTAGGCAAGGATTTATGTGGATACATTTTTTGCTCATTGCACGAGGCCGTTTGCGAATTTTCTCCAATTATGTGGTCATAATAGAGCGCGCCAACGGGATAAGTTGGCGCATCTTCTTGAAGAGTTTACGGCGCTTCAAGATGAAGGGGAAAGAGTGGATGCTTACCTCCATAACATATCTGTGGCGTATTCCCGGCCGCATTTAGCGTGTTTTGGAACTTGGATTTTGTATCACACATTAAGAATAATGATAATGTATTTGTTATCCGGGTTCGAATTGGAATTATATAGCATACATGAATATTATTATATTTATTGGTATCTTTATGAATTCCTTTACGGTTGGTTAATATCTGCTTTAACTCGCGCCGATACTTTTTTGATGGAACAAGAGCGCGCAATGGACGTACAAAAAACGAAAGGAACAAATAAGAAGAAGATGAAATTTAAAAAGAAAACGAGGCCGCATAACAGAGACATATTGTTTTATCAAGCGCTACAAAATATGTGTGGCGGGTATTATAAGGCTTTAATGGGATTTCGAATGGACGGGAAACTAACCATGCCGCACCCCCAATTCGACAGCGAACAAGTTCGTTATGAACACCGTTTTGCGCCGTTTCAAAATCTTTTAACGCCACCCCCCGTTCAATATGTTGAATTTCGCGATCTTATAGCTTCGAATAGATATCAACAACAATCAGCTGATAGCATGTATATGTATATTTCTGGTTGTAAACATTTTCATCAGGCGAAACAGCTCTTGGAAACTTTAAACTCAACGGATGGCGAAATTTTGGAATTACTCAGAATCGCAAAGACAAATTTTATTGTTTTAAAATTATTAGCTGGTGGTCATCGTAAAGATTCGTCTGTTCCACCCGAGTTTTTATTTAAAACCAATAAGCATTTTCCGATTTTAAAGTTAACTTAGGAAATATTATTTTTGTGTACATTTCAGGCTTTGTGTGTATAAATAAATTAATAACATAAAGGATTATTTCAGTTTTTTAAATATTTGCTTTTTACCCTATTAGTCAGAATCAAGACGGAAAAAGTATAAAATTAGCATTGAAACTATAGAGGAATCTCGATGGCCTGCTTAGCAGACTGTATGATAGAATACTTGGAGATTTTTTGAGATTGATACCTAATCCAATCAAAATAAAGTGCACATACTTCTACCTTAATAACAAAGAGAGACCACACGTCAGCTGAACTACACTAATTCCAAATTACCTGCAAAAAGATAACAGCTAAAGTATGCGCAAGAAACAATATTAGAAATTATGTGAAAAAAACTACTCTTATACACTAGCTTTCTGCGCTCAACCACATTCCACCTCCCAAGCTGAGAAGACTACACCCAAGCGACTTTATACAATGAGAATTTTAAGATAGAGTAAGCCGACACCTGAACAAATATAAAATATTTAGCAAGTCAGTTAAAACATATGTTCCATACATGGAACAAAACCCCGAACCCCATGTCTGACTACGGTAAGGAGAACTGCGAACTATCGGTGGATTGGATGACTTTTTCGAATGGATTAATAACTTGACAATCAACATATAGCTGTTCGTACACTTTATATTAACTAGTGGTGGAACGGATATCCGGCAACTATACGGTTTTTTTGAAGTATTGATAAAATTTTCAATGTTGCAATTTTCATCGATAACTTTCGAAATTAATAATAATAATAATAATAGCCTTTATTGCACATTCATCAGGAAAAATGAAAAATAATTATAAATAATTGATTACAAAAATAAAAGTAAAAACAAATTATAATAAAAAGATAATGAGATAATTAATAAAATAATGTACTACAGTAAAGTAAAGTATTACACCAAATAAAGATAAAATAAAATAATAAAAAAAAGAACAAGAACAAGAGAAAAAGAAATAGTGCAATCACGAGGTATACCAACTGATTTTCAATCCAAGCCTTGACAATTATTAGAGAGATATGAAATACATCATAATTCTTAACTCTACAAAAAATAAAAAAAAAGAAAGAAAACAATATCTTAAATGAAGTAAAGAAATATTCGCAGCAAAAATTCGCTATAAAATTAATTTCTTGAAGGATCCTTGTGGAAATATCACCAATTATTAATTAAAGTATCCTCTTTTTAATGCAAAAAATCACTTTTAGTTCTTGAGAAATAAATTTTTGAAATAATTGACAGTTTTTCGAATTTTGCAATTTTCGCCAATTAAGTTTTAAAAATTCGTATAAAATCTGTTTTTTGGAATATAAGAATGAAAATTTCCCAAAATGTTAATAAAAGTGTCTTCTTTCCAATGCACCAACATGTTTTGAAAAATAACTTTTAGTTTTTGAAAAAACAATATTTGAAGTTTTGATAAAATTTTCGATGTTGCAATTTTCATCGATAACTTACAAAATTCGCTAAAAATTCATTTCTTGAAGGATCCCTGTGGAAATATCACTAATTATTAATTAAAGTATCCTCTTTTTAATGCAACAAGCCGTTTTGAAAAATCGCTTTTAGTTTTTGAGAAAAAAATTTTTGAAATGATCAACAATTTTTTCGAATTTTGCAATTTTCGCCGATTAAGTTTTAAAAATTCGTATAAAATCCATTTCTTGGAATATGAGTATGAAAATTTCCCAAAGTGTTAATAAAAGTGTCCTCTTTCCAATGAACCAACCCGTTTTGAAAAATAACTTTTAGTTTTTGAGAAAACAATATTTGAAGTTTTGATAAAATTTTCGATGTTGCAATTTTCATCGATAATTTTCAAAATTCGCTATAAAATTAATTTCTTGAAGGATCCTTGTGGAAATATCACCAATTATTAATTAAAGTATCCTCTTTTTAATGCAACAAGCCGTTTTGAAAAATCACTTTTAGTTCTTGAGAAATAAATTTTTGAAATAATCGACAATTTTTTCGAATTTTGCAATTTTCGCCGATTAAGTTTTAAAAATTCGTATAAAATCCATTTCTTGGAATATGAGTATGAAAATTTCCCAAAGTGTTAATAAAAGTGTCCTCTTTCCAATGAACCAACCCGTTTTGAAAAATAACTTTTAGTTTTTGAGAAAACAATATTTGAAGTTTTGATAAAATTTTCGATGTTGCAATTTTCATCGATAATTTTCAAAATTCGCTATAAAATTAATTTCTTGAAGGATCCTTGTGGAAATATCACCAATTATTAATTAAAGTATCCTCTTTTTAATGCAAAAAGAAGTTTTGAAAAATCGCTTTTAGTTCTAGAGAAATAAATTTTTGAAATAATCGACAATTTTTTCAAATTTTGCAACTTTCGCCTATTAAGTTTTAAAAATTCGTATAAAATCCATTTCTTGGAATATGAGTATGAAAATTTCCCAAAGTGTTAATAAAACTGTCCTCTATCCAATGAACCAACCCGTTTTGAAAAATAACTTTTAGTTTTTGAGAAAACAATATTTGAAGTTTTGATAAAATTTTCGATGTTGCAATTTTCATCGATAACATTCAAAATTCGCTATAAAATTTATTTCTTAAAGGATCCTTGTGGAAATATCACCAATTATTAATTAAAATATCCTCTTTTTAATGCAAAAAGTCGTTTTAAAAAATCACTTTTAGTTCTTGAGAAATAAATATCACTTCAGAAATGCACTAGAAATTATAACCATAATGGGCGGATAGATATGCCGGATAACCGGATATCCGGCCGGGGGGGATGCCGAATATCTGTTTTTTCGCAAAATCACTATCCGTTCCATCACTAATTATTACCATAGTAACGTTAAAACAAAATGGATTTTGTCGTAGAAACGATATCAACAGATTCGTTTTACTCCAACTTATTGTTAGGTTTACCGAAAGTTTTAGAAAAAAATAAAAGATTTGGGATTAAAAAGTTGTATTTGATGAGACACCAGCCGGTGCCTAACACTGAAATTTGCGCCTGGGAGCAAAAAAATGGGATTTTGTTTCCGGAGGATCTCAGAAATTTTTATTCATCAACAGACGGGTTTTGTTACACTTGGTTTTGCGAATACGGAAGTAAGTAAATCACAATTACCGTTTCCATCTTTATTATTACCCGATATTTTAGTGCGAAAAACAAACGTGACGGGGAAATTAGAAATATCCCCGTTAAATAAAGTTATTCAAGTTGTTGGGTACCGAACTCACACCGATCCGGGAGTCCAATTAGACGGAGTTAAATATAAATTAAAATTGGGACAAAACAGCAAAGTTTTTGAGATCTCTCAACTAGAAAACACCAAAATTTGCGTCGTTTATTTAACAACTAGATTTGTTCCAACCATATGGCTTTGCACTCAAGACATGCAATTTTATTATTTAGCTGACAATTTCACAATGTATTTTAGAATGGCAATAGCTCACTTAGGCTTTCCATATTGGCAGCTTTTATACACTCCCCACGGAATTCCCGAATGGGCTAAAGTTAATATATATAATATAATTAACTCATTCTAACTCACATCAAAAACATTTTTAGGTTCTTATACGATTATTTTACCCAAAAATGTTAAATAAACGGACAAAAACCGTTGAAGTAATAAAAAAGGATCGCTCGAAAAAGCTACAAGATAACTACCCCGTTAATAAATTAGACGTTAACGTTTTTAAATATCACACAAAAAGCATTCGTCCAACCACAACGGTTGTTCGGCGAGATAAAACACCTTCACCATCAAAATCGCCGAGGAAAAAGAAATATTATTGGGTAAAAAGTAGATATTTAAAAAAAGGGGGCAATAACATCATTATAAAAAGCAACAAATAAAGCATCAAGAAAATATCTTATTCATTTATTTATTCCCCATCGTGAATCGTGGTCATGTTTAAAGTTTCCAAGAGCTATTTCGCCTAAAACAAACATAAATGTGACATATACAGAGTATAAAATAAAATATAAAATACACGTATAGTTAATATTAGTGATGGAACGGATAGTGATTTAGCGAAAAGGTCCGAATATCCGGATATTGTCGATTAAAAAATTGTTAATTACTTCAAAAATTTATTTCTCAAGAACTAAAAGTGATTTTTCAAAACTGCTTTTTGCATTAAAAAGAGAATACTTTAATTAATAATTGGTGATATTTCCACAAGGATCCTTCCAGAAATTAATTTTATAGCGAATTTTGAAAATTATCGATGAAAATTGCAACATCGAAAATTTTATCTAAACTTCAAATATTGCCAACATTACTT